AAACTACAGCGAGAATAAAAGTTACGCCTTCTTTCTTTGTGTGAACATTTGGGCAGCGTTATGCAAATCTTCCCACAGAGTGACGTAGGTATGTGGGGGCGTGTTAGAACGAGCGGTTTTAGGTAGGTGTGGCTGACTCTTAACTTTTATAAAGAATATCTCTTTGGATTTGAGACTTTAGTCTTTGCAACTTTACAGATCTTCTTTATGCACCAAGAGCTTGTAACACTCCAAAGAGAAAGGAAAAATTGAAAACGCATCATATGACCCCTTTAACAAAAAGGAAGAGGTTTATGCATGTTGGGCTGAGTTTTCGCATTTCCACCGCTCTGACCAGCAGGGGTCACTAGCGCATGGCGTTTCAAGCGAGTGAATCGTAACTGGTTCAATTGATTCAAAGTTTCGGAAAGCTTCGTTTCTCCATACTCATATGAATAATTTGCTCCACAGTTGGACTGCACTTGTTGCGCTGTTTTGCATGCGTGCAACTCGCGAAGGAGATTCAGTAGAAAGAAGTGATTTTTACCATTATTTCGTGGTACCTTATCTTTTTATCTCATTACATTTAATTCAGGCTGGAAACGCACAACTCGGATAGAAAGATCTCTTGCCGTAACGCTGTAGAATAGATTCGAGGAGTACAGGAAACGATTGTGCCTCCTCAGAACTCTGCCCTCTTTAAGGACAAGTGGAGGTCCTATATAGGCTATTCAGACATACAAATGGAAAAGTAAGCCCTCATTTAATCTATTTCTATGAAACAGAGTAAAATGAATGAGTGAAAATATTTCAGAGCTTCGAAAAAATGTCTGAGCTTCAAAAACATTATTAGGCTATTTATTATTGTCTTGTTTGATTTCCTTATCTGCTGACTGTGTCTTGATTCTTACAACTTTAACAACTTTTTCAGGAAGTTTCTAAAGCAACTTTCCTTGTTTTCATTTAGAGTTTAACTTGATGCATATGCAATCTGAGCATATCACACCAGTCCTCAGGTCCTTACACTGGCTTCCAGTTATATTTAGGATTGATTTTAAAGTATTTTTACTCGTTTATAAATCACTCAATGGCCTAGGACCTAAATACATAGCAGATATGTTCACTGAATATAAACCTAACAGACCACTCAGATCATTAGGATCGAGTCAGTTAGAAATATCAAGGGTTCGCACAAAACAAGGGGAGTCTGCTTTTAGCTATTATGCCGCCCGCAGTTGGAACCAGCTTCCAGAAGAGATCAGATGTGCTAAAACATTAGTCACATTTAAATGCAGACTCAAAACTCATCTGTTTAACTGTGCATTTATTGAATGAGCACTGTGCTATGTCCGAACTGATTGCACTATATTGTATGTATAATCGTTTTCTATTCTTAACTGTTTTAAATTTATTTTAAACATCTTAAATCAATTCTTAAATCATTTTCAAAGTTTTTAAATTCCTTGTTTTATTGTTATGATTATTTTTTTTATGATTTTATTTTATTTTATGTAAAGCACTTTGAATTACCATTGTGTATGAAATGTGCTATATAAATAAACTTGCCTTGCCTTGCTGCACTACAATAACTAAAACTAAAATAAAATCTACATAGGCCTACATATTTAGAAAAAATAAACCAATACAAATAAAAACAACAAAATTACAAAATACTAAAACTTGAGTAAAATTAACATGAAAATGTAAAATATAAAAATAAAAACTAGGACCTCAATGATAAAATAGCACTGCCTGGAAGCAATTATACGTGTATTTTTCTTTCTTTTTTAACTCTCAAGTTGAGTTTTTTTTTTCTTTTACAGAAATTTTAATTTGATAAAAGTAGCATACAAATGTTTGAAATGTTGCATAATGCCTACTTTTTCATTATATACACAACCATTGTTTAATCACTGCAAATTATTCCCTTTTATTGTTAAACACGCAGACAGTTTAACCATTTTAAAGTAGCAAGTTCTTACAACAAAGTACAAATATGTGGCAGATATTTTATGTCAGTTTAAACCAAATTTGCCCCTGGCTGCTGGAATGTTCCCAATTAGCATCTGAAACTCCACAACAACTTCCTGCACTGATTTTTTCAGTTAGCTTCCCTTACACTGACATTTCTCAGTAACAAATCATCTTGTAATTTACTGTCTTGTTATTTCTTCCTGTTAAAGCCATTCAGATTCAACCACTTGCACATTGTTGGACCTGAATGATGGTACGGCTTGTGTTGTCCACTTACCAAATTCTCGGCATCAGGTGGGCTGTCTGCAGTACATGGTGGACCAAAATAGGTCTGGTCTCAAAAACACACCTGGTTTCCAGCTGCTGACATTCTTGACCCTTTCTTTATCCAAAAAAACCCCCAAAAAACATCAGGGGCATTGAGAGTGCCCTGCTCCTTTAGGCCATGTTTGTCTTCGTAATGAAAGTGTGAAAAATGTTACATGAAAAAATTAAACTTAAAAAAACAGAAATATTGCCTTAGCAACTAACTGAAATAAATGAGTTTAAATTGAAGAAAAATGACTAAAACGTAAACTAAAATTCAAATGAAAACTGAAGTATAAAAATTAAAGCTTCAAAATATTAATAAATATATAAATAATATTAAAATAACACTAGTGTAGTGTATAAATACAGTACATTCATCAAATTCCCTTTCTTACCTGTATTTTTCTTTTGCTGTATTTTATTTCTGATTCTATGAGAGAAAAATGCATTTTATTTATACCTGCTCTTTTGTTATTTTAATGTTTTAAAGCCTTTATTGTTTGCACTTTCATGTCTTCATTTTCTGTCTCTGTCATGTCTATTTATAACCTTTGTGTAAAATCTCAGAAGCCTTTAAAATCTCAAAATATGCACCCTTGAAGGTACTATTCACATTTTGAAGGAAATATGAAATCCTTAAGAAAGGTTTCCACACCAGTGACAGCTTTTGTACCCCCTTTTTCAGATAGTGTACATACATAAACCTGCCTTGCCTCATCACTCTGTTTAACATCATGGTCTGTTTTTGATTTCAGTTTTAAATTTATGATTTGGTTCATGAAAAAAACAGCACTGTTCTATTACAACCCAACTAACTGTGCAATGACGTCATTATTTCCTGACATGCCTCTGCTCGATTTGATTTTCAGTGGTGATGCATCTGTGTAATATTATGGCCTAATAACAATATTGGTTCCTGTTCTGTATTACTGACCAGTGCACCAGCAATACAATAGGAGCAGTGAGTGTTACGCTGGAGTAACACCAAATCTATCATTACTAATAATAAAAACATAACATTATACAAGTAATTTAGTGCATCTTTCTTTAAGACCATGTTCCACTAGACTTCAGAATGGCTACTTTTATTGCTCACCTGAACAGACATTAAATTACAATCAGCTACATAATTGAATTAGGCATAAGAACAGCTGCTCACTGGTTATATAAACACACAACAAAGTCTATTGTCACATTTCCAGAAATCTGAAGCACTGATAGAAGTAGTATTTTTAGCAATAGTTAAACAGTGACCTTGCACAACTATAAATAATAAATAAATAAACGAATCAAAATAAGCCCTAAACAAAAGGAAGGAACAGTGTAATGCTATTTGTCTCCACGTGGTGGAGGGATTGGATTATGATTAGCTACAGTATGATGCATTTGGTGGACAGGACGCTACTGGACAGACCTTGATTTGGTTTGAGGGCATGGGAAAATGTAAAAAAAATTGATAATAATTGAATAATTTTAAATTGTTAAAATATTAAGTACACGAATATCGTTACACCTTTCAAATGATAATAGATCATAAATGTAAAATTAAAATAAAAACAACACACATTTAAAAAAGCAAAATATAATAGAAAAAATCGGTACACCAATTTTCTTCCACACAGTCTTTTATTTGTAAATAATAAAAATGAACTCTTGAATATAAAACATACACATTATTTGAGCCACGTCTGCTGTACAAACAAGAAATGTTGCAGTGAATACTTTCAATTTTGTTTCAGTGGAACACGAACTGTAAACAATCAGTATCCTGGAATAATACTGACAAAGTAAATAGGTCTGCCGTAACCAGGCATATAAAGTAAACTTCTCATTGAAACGAGGATTCGTGAGCATTTATGGTAACGCAACAGGTCGATAGAGGTCCAAATTTCTCTCGTCAGATTGGGCATCACTAAAATAAAACTTTGGAGGCATCCCTTCTTCCGCTCAGCAGAACCAAGAGACAGAGCAGTGATCCATTAACTTCAATGGGGCCGCTTTGTAAATATAAGTAAACTTCTTTGCAGACTCATATTTACAATATATGCATGTACGTAAGTGATGTTTACTTGATGCACTCTGTTTCAATATCGATATATCTCTAAGTCATTGTGATTTTCATAATTATATTCCATATACATATAGCTCTAGTTTTTATACAGATTATCTACCTTAGTTTAAGCCCCACAGTAGTACAGACTACAGTGAACACCAACATCTTCAATAAAATAGGGCCTTGTGTTTGCTCAGTACTACAGTACAGCACTTATTTATCTATCCAGGGTTAAAAAAAGAAAGAAAAGGTAATCAAATTATTCAAAAATTCTTATAGACATTCAGCCCCAAAATAAGGCCTATGTGTATGGCTGAACCCGGCCAAATGCCCACACATGGAATGAATGGCTTCGTTTTATTTGATAATCTATTTATATCAAGTACAAGCAAACTGTACAAGTACATGCAACATACAAGCTGGCCTACAGTTTGTGGAACTAACACACACTTATTGTAGTCTCTTTTTTTCTCATCTGTCTTCTTTTACAAAATGTGCATGCAACATGGAACAGTTCCAGATTCATGCTGTTCCCCTCGTTGGTGGCGTCTGTTCCCCTTGTTGGAACGTCTCACTGTCACATTCAAAATGCTCAGTGGGGGATCTGTGAAATTGGTTTTATAATCAACTAAACTGATGACAAACTGCTAAAACTAGGAAGCTTCCGATTTTGGTCTCTTTTTTGTATTACTTTTAATCCCCAAAAGCTTTAACTTTTTCTCTTTTTTGTTAAAAAATCAAGCATTTGTGCTTGCATTAAAATAATGCAAACTCTAGTCGGGTAGAAATTCTAATATCGGTACGTACAGATCCTTTACCAAACGGAATAGAATTAAAAGTGCTTGGAAATGCCTGTAAGATATGATTCGTGATCGCGTGAAACCCGGAAATCGAACGTGTTAGTGAGCTAATGTTTCCTGTTAAATGACAGTGGCAGCTTCTTACAGTCCCGGTGAATCGAATACAAGTGGTTTTGTGTCTTCCGTGAAGCTCGTATGACACAAATGTCAGAAAACATCAAGCGTGTTTTCACATTCTACAAAGTGTGCCTATTTACCAAATCAACATTAACGTGAAAAGGCAAAGCAGTCAGTGGCGACTGCTGTAAACAGACTTAAAAGGTTCTCAGGCATCTCCCTACCTTCTTAGACGCAAACGCACACACAATCTGAGTCTGAGTTCGTGCCAGACCGGCACACGCCGGGGCCTCGGATGCAGCATCCGTGATGCAGAGAGGAAACTCTCTGAGAAGACTAAATCTTGACCTTTAACCCTGGACCTCTGGTCTTTCAGCAGAGGGACTTCCTGAAAGTGCAATATAGAGGAGGGGCAGTGCTGTCCTCTCACTCTCGCCAACACGTGAGAAAATAAATGCGCTGACTGACCAGAGCAATCTAGGCTACCGGCGCCACTGTAGGCTCCGCTTCCTGTCAGACGAAGCGGGATCGCGTTTCGGCTGCCTCTCCCTTCTCTTTTTTATTTGGGTCGAATCGTCATCTCAGCTACAGAACATGCAGTAAAGGAGCAGAGTGGATCAAAAGAAATCTCTACAACCCAAAGATCTAAAGTAAAAGAGAGAAGTGATTGTCAGGCTTCAGCAAAGCTTTGATCATGATTCTGTCCATCTGTCTCTTTATCTGCCGCTCTGGTTCTGATTGGTCCACTGGGTCGTGCTTTTCCCGTCCGTTCACTAGGACCTGATACCTGGCGGCCCTGAAGAGTCCAGCGAGGTCTGGGAAGCGCGCCGAGTGAGAGGAGCTAACGTCGGGTCGACCAATGATGAAGGGGGAAACAGTCTGTACCAACCGATCACTGTGCTAGAAAGATCCAGCTCCTCTAAAAGAATCTGGGCGACTCCCATGAAACATTTGTGGTCCATGCGGCCGTAATCTCCCCAGACTATTACCTGAAGACACATTCGGTGGTCAGTACGCACAAATGTTGGACTTTGGAGGCATATCGGAAACAAACAAATGAAATTCGCTTCCTACCTGGAGAACTTTACCCTGCGGACTTTCCTCAAACAGCAGCGATTGCTGATACAAGGGATCAAGCGTTTTCCGTGCAATCTTGGTTTTCTTTTTGGCTTTGCACGCTCCTTTTTCCAGCAAATAGACCTTGACATAGGGAGCTGTGAAGAGCAGACGTAGTGCTCAACTAGGGTTGTTCAGGCAGTTATAGTGCCTGGTGGTGGTACGTCATATTTACAATTAGTACAATGTATTAATTACCAAATATTTGGGATGTAATCACTCCATTAAAAAACTTTAAATAACATTTCTTTTAGTCCAAGCACTATAAAAACTGCAAATACACTACTGTTCAAAAGTTTTTTTTTTTGTTTTTTTTTTAAGATGTCTCTCATACTGACCAAGGCTGCATTTATTTGATCAAAAATATAGTAAAATAGTAATATTGTCAAATATTATTACAATTTTAAATAACTGTTTCTATTTCAATATATATTTATATTCTAGTTTTCAGTTTCACATGATGTAAATGTATTTACAGTCACTTTTGATCAATGCGCCCTTGCTGTATAAAAGTATTAATTCTATATTTTTAAAAAATCTTACTGACCATTTATGAATGGCCATAAATGGTGACATGCTTACATTAAAAAAAAATTTGGTGCACTTAAAACTGATTAATTTACTCATTACTCATACAAATAACCGTGTTTACATAATGAGTGGAAGACATATAATGAATCCTTGATCTATATTGACTATTATACACTGCTATATATTTTTAAAATATCTTACTGACCATTTATGAATGGCCATAAATGGTGACATGCTTACATTAAAAAAAAATTCGGTGCACTTAAAACTGATTAATTTACTCATTACTCATACAAATAACCGTGTTTACATAATGAGTGGAAGACATATAATGAATCCTTGATCTATATTGACTATTATACACTGCTAATGAAAATTACTGTATGTATTGTTGGCACACTCTCACCCGGCAGCGATTTGGAACCTGGTTTAGGTGTAAGACCACGGGCCCTGATAACTTCCACTTCCAGCTGCCCTTTCTTGTCCATCAGTCCAATCTGAACATCTCCTACAAAACAAAAAACAAAGTGTTTTAAAGTTTTCCATGCCACCAAATTCAACGGAGATAGACTTTAGTCAGTACATATATGAAGATGTTTACTTACCCATAGCAGGCGTGGCAAGTGTTTGTCTACCCACCAACTGAGCAGGGCCAAGACCATCTAGGAAGTCACTGAACTGGCTGTCGGCCCCTAACCTCATCCCTGAGAAGATCAGACTGAGACATACACAGGTTATCAGATAGACAAATGAATGGATAGATATCAACTGTAAGGTAGCAATTCAAATACAAGTTACGGTAAATTTCTTGCTATCTTCAGCCGTTCTTAAATACTTTTTGTCATAAATCAATAGAAATTTAAAAAATGAATTTTTGTACAGTAGATACCAACATATGAAAACAAACAAGATCCTATAAAACAATTAGTTTATTTGGATGAAATCTAAGTAGGCTTATTCCAGAATGAGCCTACTGCCCTCATATAGAGTTCAAAAGCTCGTGAAATGCAGCCCATCTCCTCCAGCAGCAGACTTGCGCTGTGTATGGCATGTAAACCCTGTCCTGCGTTAAGGCCCCTCTTAATACACTCAAAAATTCTGCTCTGAAGCCACAAAGGGAAGCGCAGCTGCCGTTCTCTATGCAGCTACAGACCCTGCCAAGACCCCTCTCTGAAGATGATGGATATTTTAATTATTATAGGGGAGTACCGCTTGCCATCTGGCTCCAGAAATGGAGCTGAGAAAGTAGTGGACACAGCATTACAGTAGCTCTGTAAATCAGACTGTTTCTATTAGCTTATCCTTATGGTTTTTCCAAATAAATCTAGAAGAGAAGCTCATAAGAACATGACACACAGCCTGCTGAGAGACCACTTATGTATTAGTGATGGGTTTGCAGCGAATGCATAAAAACACCAGAGACAAGACATTTTAAATGGGTCATATGATGCGATTTCAATTATTCCTTTCTCTTTGAAGTGTTACAAGCTCTTGGTGCATAAAGAAGATCTGTAAAGTTGCAAAGACTAAAGTCTCAGTCTTTTCTTTTTCTTCTCTTCTTTATAAAAGTTAAGAGTCAACCACGCCTACCTAAAGCGGCTCGTTCTAACACGCCCCCACATATCTACGTAACGATGTGGGAAGATTTACATAACACCGCCCAAATGTTCATGCAAAGAAAGAAGGCGTAACTTTTATTCTCGCTGTAGTATTGTTGCTGCCGCCATG